TTTTTAGTTCAGTTAAATATATAAGAAGTTGCCAACAACTTTGACTTCAAATACTTTGATTTCAAAAGCTACGTTGAAGTAAATTGAAATGACCTTATTTTCTTGCACAATATTACAGTAACTCCACAGAAAAAATTGTCATTAAGTAATGTGGATTCTATGATTCTTTTCTGGCAAGGTTGCAAACAAAAGACATTTGAAATAAATTATATTTTAAATTGGAGATACATTTTCTTTTTTATTAGATAATCTAGATAAATTTTTGGAAAAGAAAAAAATTGTGTAAAATGAATTAAAAATCAAATGATTGGTCAGTACTGAACTTCTTATAAGTAAAAACATCAAACCTTAGAGTTCACAGTTTAGATTTAAGTAGAGGTTTATTCAATAAAGAACTATCTAAAACTCTATGATTTTATATAGAACAGATGTGATTTCTAAAGAAGTAATGGATTTTTTTTTTTTTTACTTTATAGTCCAACACATTATTACTTAAACATTATTTTTAGTGGATATTTCTGTAGACACTCTATTAAACAGTGAAATTTATTTATTTTTGTCTACTGGCTTGAATATTAGAGAAATATTATTAAAGAAAAATATGTGCTCTCTGGCAGGATTTGAACCTGCATCTCCCTTGGCAGAAGTAATCTTTGTTAGACCCAACATGTTTATACACTCCAGCCATGGAGTGTGTTATCAATCAAGCAAAGGTGAATAGTGTCTCATAAAGCAAATGTTTCTCCGACTCTTGAAACATTCATATCTGCTCAGTTTCATGTCCTAATGTAAACAAAGCAATTTCTAATGAAGTAATGGATGTTTTTTAATTTATTAATCTTAAAGATTTTATTAATTAGATGTTATTTTTAGTAGATACCTGTACTTGAGTAGATGCTGTACTTATTTATTAAATGGTACATTCATTTATTTTTGTCTACCAGCCGAAATATTTGAGAAATCCTATTATAGAAAAATACGTGCTCTCTAGCAAGATTCAAAACTGCATCTGACTCAGCCATGAAGTCTATTGTCAATAGACAATTATAAATACAAATCTTTCTCCGACTCTTGAAACATTCATGTTTACTTAGTTTCATATCCTAATGTAAACAAAGCAATTTCTAAAGAAGTAGTGAATTTTTTATTTTTTTATTTATTAATCTGATAGATTTTATTAATTCAGTATTAGACTTAATACATACCCATATTTGAGTAGATGCTACGTTTATTTATTAAACAGTATATTTATTTTCATCTACTGACCTGAATATTCAAGAAACCATTTAAAAAAAAAATGCATTCTCTAGCATGATTAGAACCTGTGTGACATGCGCAAAAAAAAAAAAAAAATTAGCATCTACAGTCACTAGGTGTCAATTTCTTTCTAAGCCATTCCATTATAATTTTAGAAAGAAAGTTGAAGTAAAATTTCCAAAAGTTTTATTTTTTTTAATTGAACCTTTATATAATGGATATTTCTAATAAAAATATATCAATAAATCTTACTCCTTTATTTAACTGTTTATTATAAAAAACTCCTTTAATTTAAATATTTATTAATGCATATCACAGAAACTTAGAATTGTTTTCAATGAAAAGTATATTATAAAATAGATTGTAAAGAAAAATTTTTTCTTCTTATTTTATAGAAACCTTTTATAGCATCTTTGTAATAATGAGTAGTACATTTTCAGTAAAGCATGAAGTTTACATTTCATGCCTTCTGCAAGCTGTTAATATGAAACAATTCTAATTATTGATCACTAATATCAAATTTAATTTGTTAGTGCTATTGTTAGTATATTTATGTATGTACATTGCAAAAATAAAGAAAAACAGGATTATAATATTGATAGTTAATATAATATGGGAAAAGTAATTAATAAAGAAAAAAGTATTACTGAAAACATTATAGCTATGATGTGAGGATTTTGTGAAATTATATGTTGAATTCCTAAACTGCAAACAATTGAATTATCACCGAGACAAGGTGAAGAAATAAACTAAGTTGAAACTAAAAAATATTATTCTATGATATCACAGAGAAAACTGCTCTTGTCATTAAAAAAAAAAAAAACTTCTAGATTTTGTGCTAAAAACGATTGTAGTTACTTTGGGGAAAATAAAGTAGACATTGAAAAAAAAATCACTTGGTAAACACAGATGAACACAGATGATTTCATCATTAGAAATTCTGCATTGAGCTTCTGAGAACTTGCTTCTGTTAAATAATCTTCACACACACACATATATATATATATTTTCTTATAAATTAACTAGTTTAAAATATGTTTTTTTTCGCTACACAGTAATAACTATGTTTCAAAAATGGAAGCTAAAAGCTTCAAATTTAATTTTGTAATTAAATTAAAAACATTAGTTCCATTTCATCCTCAAGCAAATTTACTTTAGGATGAAATGGAACTAATGTTTTTAATTTAATGAAGAAATGGAACTAATGTTTTTAATTTAATTACAAAATTAAATTTGAAGCTTT